TCTGGCGATGCTAAACTAGTCTACTTCGAGTTCGTGCCCCAAAAATTGGCGTCAGAGTGGTTCAAATCGTCACGAACTTGGCTGCGCGTCCTCGGACGCACGACTTGACCGTCCCCCCCTCTTTCTTTGCCGATCTGATTTACTTCTTTTGGTTTTATTCTGCTGCACTGTGGAAAAGTTGTTGTTGTGTGCCAGTGCATTCTTGTGCTGTGCATCTCTGACACTAAACGGAAGAGCGCACAGAGACCGCGCTAGAGCGCAGAGATGGTTTGATGCTCAACTTTTTGCTCGAGATAATCACCTCACGTATCCCGGTTCTCACCCCACTCTGCCGTCTGGCGTCAGAGATGCGGAGCCCATCAATTAGACTTCATAGACAGCCTGACGGGGTGTAGCATTCTCCCGATACAATCTCTGGCCCCTTGTTGTGCTCCATTCAGGACGTTTTTCGACCCTACACCGCCATATATGATGTAGGGGTCTCAAACTCATACTATGTGGAAAGTTCAGAAACAATTTTTATCGTGAACCGTGCCATTAAGTGGAAGTGAAACTTTCGCCTGGCTGACGTGCGATTGTTTTTGAATTCTTCACGAGATTGGATCACCGTTTCCTTCGCATTAGGTTCCAATTTTCTATTTGATGAAGGAAACCCCCAGATTGAAGAGAGAGGGCCGTCATCTGTTACAATAACTTTGCTTCCTCTGATAGTACGACCAATCCCATTTTTCGAGCACTTCATGATAGTGCTAAGAGAGCCGAATGTTCATGAGCCACCACAAACACTTTTCTCAAAGGTTACGCCAGCGTAGAATTGCGCAAGCTGTAGGCGATTACAAGTGAAGTCTAATTTTGCGAACTGTGCAGAGATGCATTAAAGGAAGATGTGAAAAGAGAAGAACATCACTTAAGAGTGAGGCTACTGAGATTGGAAAGAGCATCCCCCGTTGGAGCTTCGTCAATCAAGTTGAGTTTGCTTTGTCATTCTGACGGAAAGGCACTACATTCTTCTGTCTTAGGTGTTTTCTTCTCCTCCAGATTTGATAGCAACAGAAATACGACAAAGCAATGGCGACTTGCGCTAAGGCTAACTCGCACTCTCCTTAGGATGTGGAGTTGAAAGGTGTACTTTACCGATCAAATCTTCAGTTTACATGTGAAAATATCGTAAAGTAGCGAAGCTCAAGCGGAGAAGATGACCTTGGCAAGAGTAAGACCCTTTATCGGCTGCCTGGACTCCGAGTTTTCACGATATTTTCATGAGTGTTTGGATACCCAGAGATCGGGTTACAGAGCTCCGGATGACCCCCAGAATGGAAGTTGAGGTTGTTTGAGAGTTGGGCGATGTAACGGCTATAACGCTTATCAACGCATTTCAACAGCAGCAATGATTACAAATGACCATGTTCCACGTGAGTGCCGTAGTAAGGCTTCAGTGTTCTCACTAAATGGGAGTCCATGGAATACCGCAAGCTTTATATAGTCGGTGTCGTTTGTTCGTGGTAAAGTTTGAGAATACGTGATGCTTCAAGCAACGGCCTAGAAAAAGGATCCATTGTGGCAGAATGTTGGCACGCGTTTCCCAAATATGAGTGAGTTTGCACGGTACGCGAAAAACAAAGTCTAGTCAAATGCGGTTAAGCACAGTCATCCAAGACCAAAACTTCCTCGTTAAGAACATATTTGAAATACTCATTCATTAGCATATTTCCGCCTATTTCCTGACAATTTCGTCGTTTTCGAAGGTCTAAAAACAATTCCGATTTCTTTTGACTTAAACCAGCGAACTTCAAAAAAATTGCAATCTCGGTAACCGAGCGCTCACGTGAGTTCCACCCTTGGTAATTGTTTGCTTGACTTTGAAGGCATTAGAGCAGGTGAGGTTGTTCGATCTCGCCATTAATAAGTGGGTCGTGAGGTCACCTAGTGCATCCTTTCTCACTTGCAGTGCTCCCATAGGTGATTCAAAACAAGAAGACAATAATTATTTTAATGCTTTCAATCTTTTTACTCATGATTGCATTCCAGTGCCTTGTAGAAAACTTCTTCCCCTTTTCACATAGCATTTCTTGCTCCGATATTGGACTTGTGAGCAGGAATAACGATATTGACGTAAGAATCATGGACAGCATGAGGTTACTTTCTGCATACTCCTGCATGAAGCCAAGCATCGAAAATCGCAGATTCGGTGACATGTTGTGAGTAATTGTTTGAACAGGTCGACAATATGCATGAACATTTCATACGCATATTTATACATTATTCAACGAATAAATCCCAACTTCATAGGATAGCTCGTTTGCTCATAACGATTTAATTATGGTACCGATTAATGAAGCAGATCCGAAGCATTTTGGTTGCGGAGCGTAGCTTGTCATGTCGCCTGATCGCTGTATCTGCATCAGGAGAAATGGAGAAGAGGGAGGCAGCATGTGAAAAAGTTGTTATGAGGCAACAGTTGTATTGCTGTGTCGACCTGTTCAAATATTTTCTTCCAACATGTTTCCGATTCTACTGAATGCTTGGCTTCATAGAAGTCGTGGGAAGAAAGTGCAGCTTTGACGGGAAAAATATTTACAAAACATACATTTATACAGCAGTTCTTCAAAACAGCCGCATGCTGAAGTGATGCAGCTGAAGTACCTTATTCTTGCTAATAAATAAGAGAGCAGCAGAAGAAGTTCATCACATTCGCAATGTTGTTCATCTTCGCAGTGCTGTCTTCCGTCGTAGCATTGGTCGCTGCACAAGGTGAGTGCCGTAATAGCCATACAACACGATACAGTCAACCGATTCCTGATATCTTTCGATATTTATCGAACCTGTTTCTCAACAACCATCATGATACACTTTTAGGCGCGAGTAGCCCGCTACCGAAGGATGCTAAGGATGCACTCAAATTCATCAACGAAGCCAATGATGAAACTATGGTTAGTTGCTTTTGTGATATGAGCTGGTGTGCTTGATTTTTCCATTATCCTTTCACATTTGGATCTGGAACGATTCTTTGGCGGAGGACGCAAGGAAGTGGGTAGATTTTCCGAATACTGTGCAGGCTGACGTGGTGATCAAGGGGAAGAAGTGCGTCGTCGTCTACATCTCCTATATCTGTTTCTTCCCATGGAACATAATGTTTTCATTCAGATGCTTCAAGAAGGCAGATCCAATGACTTGGTTTGATAAGGCGCTAATCGGCTTTGAAAAGCAAATCAATGACAGACAAAAAGACGTAAGTCAAATTTTAAATATTAATCTGTCATCTCTAAAAAGGCATTTTATGAACCACGCCGTAGCCACAACATTATGAAGTTATTTTCGCGTAATCGTTTGATTGCACAAGAAGTTGTATATAAGCTTCAGGGGACTGACATTTTCGTGAGGTTCACCTTCTTTTCAACCTGGAAGTCGTATAACAGATCGCGACTACCCGACAAACGTTTCCATGACCCTATTGAAGTTCGAGGCCTCCAGTACGCACGGAAATCAGATAAATGCCACCACCCGCCGCAGCTTTATGGATTCTTCCTATCCGCCTAACACACGATAGTATCTACCGATCAGCGTTAGTTCTAGAAAGCTTGCGAAGTTCTGAAGGGTTGTTCCCTCCTTTGAAACTGACTTGCTTTCTTACAAGTTTCACCTGGAAGGCAATTGTCTTCACCACTGATTCAAAGCCTATATATTCTCGCGTAGCGGAACTATAACAGTGGAATGGATGCCCCTACCTTTGCTGAGTGCTCCCTTAGTGATTTTTCCAATCGTTTCTGTACAACAAATCTTTAAGCTATTTTGTCATTTGTTACTCGTACGTACAGAAGAATCACCAAATTGAATATGTTAAGATCGATCAACTTGGAAAAGCACCAACCTTCGGATGCGACGGCGTTCTCAACGCACAGTTAAAGAAGTACGATTGCTTGACTTTCGTTTGCCTTTATAGGAAGCAGTGAATTGTTTAAATCTGAATAAATTCTCGAATGAAATTCCCATATCGCAGAAAAAGCAATTGTATCAGAGAAAAGTGAAATATTCTCTGCTGATCAACAGTTACAGAATGTATCAAATCATCACCAATCATTCCCATATGCGCTAAATGATAGTAATAGGGTACATTTGGCTGACAATGAGTTGGTCAATAAGAGATGATCGACGAATTCAAAGGTGACAAAAGAGAAAAGAGGAGTGATATTCACCTTATCCAGCATTACTTGAGGTTCATCCTTATCCAATCGTGGACATTCGCTAGATAGCTGTGATTTCTGTCTTCACATATTTTCTTTTTCTTTTTTGCGACATGAAAAGCTCGTCTGAAGGAAATACCTATGGAACAAGTGTGGTAAATAAAGGGGTTTTATCCTGCCATTTTCGTGAAGACTCTGTGTTGTAGACCTTTCTCGGAGGCTTTAACGGCACCGGCAGTGCATGTAGAGTACGTTATAAACAGCTCTCCTCCGACACCAGCTTCCACAAACACCCTTCTAGGTCATTGTTCTCAGGGAGTGGAAGAGCATCTTGTGATCGAGCCACGTTATGCTGGAAAATTACTTCTTTTCTTTGAGGTTTCTCTGTCGTTGTAAGGTAATGTATCAGCTTCCCCATAAGGCATAAGTGCTGATCGAATCGTATGCNTGTTTGTAGTCACTTTCACTTTACAATTCCATTTTCTTTAGAACACATATCTTGAGAAGAGAATAGCCTAGAATGGACTTGTCACCCCATCTGAGCTATAGTGGAGATGTACGAGTAGGCTCCTGCGTTCAGAGCTGGCTCTTACAGGGCTAGCTAGGAGTCAGTTCCTTTGTTTTTCTCTGAGCGGATATATAAAAACTGAATGAGATGCGGTGGTATTCTTCGAGCGTCTTGACGATTCCGAGCTCAGAGCTTGCGGAAGCACTATTTCCAGCATGGTGCTCTTTCTTTTTCCTTTTATTGCTGTAAAAACTTGGACGGAGTTAGAGAGGTGATCAATTCCCTTTCAAACAGTGCAGAAGCATATGGTGTTATAACTCACGTAGTAAGTCAAGCTGTTCCCCGAGGTCGGAGAGAAACATATTTTTCACTTTTCAGGACGTTTTCCAACTTTCCTACTGGTATACAGCTTGTCCACCCCTTTCTGAGCTTAGCAACTGTCATCAGCCTTCGTTGGTTTGACGGTTTGCCATAGTACCAGCGCCTAATTTGTGGCCAGTTGTTGTGGATATGGCAAAGGGTGTGCCGCCGTGAATTTTCGCTCAACTCTGAGCGCAATAAATCGCCTACAGTATGACAGCTACGACGCAACTGCTGTGTCGCACATGCTGTACCGTAGGCGCTCAGCCTTCAACTTCATTTCT